TTCCCTACATCACACGTTTCACTGGGTTTTGTCACTCTGTCAGTGTCGCACTCTTATCAATAGAAGGCTAAAGAGCATTTCATTTGGGGATGGTCTTTATGAAGCTGGATCTCGGGTGCGGTTGCTAAATGGTATAAACATGTCCCTGTCCCCCCGCTGCTGATGAGAAGCGTGCCCCATCCTGCCAGCCTCGTCCCACCCAGGGGTGAGCCCACGTGTTCCTGGTTAGGTCGAGATCTATTACTAGACCAACATTCTGTCCTCAAACAAGCCAGATTTGCATTAATACCATGCCTGTGAACCACTTAAAGGCATACATACACACACGTGCTTTTAAAATATTGACTCACTCCAATGATTGTCTTTTGGACTGACGATCTTCTGTTCTCCCATGCAATGGGAAGTGAAAACTGCCTGGTCTACCATGTTTTCCCCAGAGAAAAAAAGGAAGGAAAGGTCATCTTCCTAATCTAGGTGTTAAAATCACTGGTGGTAGAGTGTGAAATGGAGATTTTTCTCCTCAAAATTTGACCGAGATGATGAAAACTGCTTCGCGTTTTAACCTGGCCACGGATCACTCTCCATACTGCAAAGTCTTTGGGATGTGGCTAGCCTGTCTGCATTCAAGATGGTGACTGGACCCATCTCTTGAGCATGCCGTGCATTTTAACTTGGGTTTCTTCTTAAAATCAGTGGGAACCCTAAGAATAACTGTTTGTAACATCTCGTGATGGTGGCACCACTGTGCTCAGCTCCATGCGGGAACCTCTCCTGGGGGCAGAGTCCCTAAGGCTTGCGAATAGGTGCTCTTACTGAGAAGGCAGGTGGGAGCAGCAGCAGAGGAAAATACGCAGGAAGGGGAGTTTCTATGTGGAAGTGCAGGGATAAACACAGGGCAAGGATAATACGGTTTTTAATAAAGGTCTATTTTAAGTATTAGGTGGAGGTGACTGAATCTTAGCCTTGGTGGCATGTAACAGTGCAAATCAAGCCTTACCTCGTGGATACAATGGCCCAATCGCATGAAATTTGCACTGGCGTGGAAACGAAGCTGGTGTCTAGCTACGTTTTTCAGTAAAACCATGCTAATATTACATAATTACTGAGATTTGAAAAATTATTAGTCTTATGCTTTTAGTTAGCAGATTAAGCTGTCATTTTGCTTAAATTAAAATTTTAATGTGATGGGCTTGCAGTATTGCTAGAATAACAAATTCAATATCACCAGTGAGGGAAGAGTAATAGCGGGGTGGAAACCCCTCCCCGTTACGATGTTTAACAAATGAGTGAGAAATATCGGCACAGCATTTATGACCACCACAGGTCCAGTAACTGTGGGAAAGGGAAAGAAAGAAGGGGTATTGAACAGGGAAGATCTTGAATCTCCAATTCCTCTAGACAATAAAAAATAGAAAATCCTTCAACATGCAAGCCGTGATGAAGCGCTGTTTGCTTTAGCATTCCTTTATTGTTCAGGCGGGGGGCTAGCTTTTCAAGCTCTTGGTCTAAATATAAACCATTTATTTGTTAGAGATAAAAATTCTAACAACTGGCCATCATGCTGTCTTAAGGTTACTAATCTCTCTGCATTAACTTTAATCATCAGATGTTTCTGAAGAGAGAAGTGAGACCAATTCCCCAAGGGTTTTCTGAATCCAAATCTCATTTTTCAAATTTTGTAAATGATATGCAGAGCTGAAATTAAAAAGCCTTTGAAATGAAATATTGATAGATAAGAAGACAGTCCCTGAGCTAAAGAACCGTACTGATGCATACAACTTAACAGCTGTATAGCTAAGTAAAGCAAATTGTTTTGTATGAAGAAATGCTTTTCTTTGTACAGTCCAAGTTTATTATGAAAAAGTGAGCTGAAGGGACACTTCTGCTTTACCAAATGAATCCTAATACCCTTTAAAGTATCTATGTGAAAGGTGATTAATCTCAAGCATGTCCCTGAGATATCCAGTATATTATAACCATTGTTTGCTGTGGAATGTATTGTCCTGCTTTTAAAATTAACCTTTTCAGAAAAGGAGGAAAATAAGTCTTTTCTGTTCACATAATCTGAAGATTAGTCTACAGTGTTTGGTGAGAAGTAAAGAACAGTAAAAGTGCCTTGGAGAAGGCAGAGGAGCTGTGGTAATGGCCGAGTGAGGCTAGCAAAGACCTGCTGCTGCTGCTGCCCTGTGGGTTCCTGCATCTCTCGTTCTGCAGCTTTATGCCAGGGCAAAACCCTTCGGAGCTCAGCACCTTGGGAATCTGACCTGGTTTAAGATTTTATTCAGCACAGTGCACTCAGACAGAGAATTTCAGATGTAAGCCGCAGTTCAGAAGATCAATTACTGTTTTTCATTCTGCTATTATTCCTGAGGGTGCATTTGCAATGTAATTAATTTTTATGTGGGGTTCCTCCATCCCCCCATTGACACTTGTCTAGTAAAAGTATCTGCTCTGCTAGATTCATGTCTTCACTTAGCTTTAATCTTACGGGCTGAGATCCATCTCCATTCATAGCAAAGCTGTCTAAGAGCACTCTGTTTAAATCTCGGGCAGAGGAATTGCCGAGATTAAAAGCCTCCATGAAAACTTTTCAGGGGCAGGGGGGAGTGGGGAAATAGGGCTTGACCTCCAGTGGACAAGCTATACTCAGACATGATCCCAAGGGATTTGCATGGGACCCTCTTTTGTAGCTTTGCTGGTAGCAGCGTCATCTTTCTCACTGAACATCTCGTTCCTCGGTAGCACAGCTACAGAGGCTTCTTGCAGTTGGATCCTGCTAAAATAAACGTGCCCTTGAGATGCGATAATTCACACAAACAGTATTTACGTGGGCTGAGAAGTGGTGCTGCACATCCTGCTTGCTGGTGCGTCCTTGGCGGGTCTGGGAGGGGATATCAAATCTTTGTAGTGGGAAGTTTGGGATCTGCAAGTCATGGCAGAACAGGAGAGGGCAGGAGGCTTTATTTATTCATTAAATCATTGCCATCCAGTTGGCCCTCAGCTTTACTGAAGTCTGAAATGTCACAGGCTAGACAACACAGCTGAAGTCTCCTGCATATGAGTGCTCTTACCCTTCTGTCTGGAAGCACCCTGGGAAAATAGGGCTACGTAGCAGAGGAGCCAATTCAGCGCAGAGCGTCCGTTTTGAAACTTTTCTTTTTATTTCAGGCAAACTTGTGCTTTGTAGACATCGATAACCATTTCATCGAACTGCCGGAGGAATTCCCTCAATTCCCCAACAAGCTGGAGTTTATCCAGGAAATCTCTGAGGTTCTCCTGCAGTTTGGGATCCCGCCGGAGGGTAACCTGCACTGCAGCGACAGCGCCACCAAACTCAAGAACCTGGTTCTTAGCGACTTGGTGAACGACAAGAACGGGAACATCCCTGGCAATGCCCTCAACATGTACGAGCTGCTGAAAGGGAATGAGACGATCGCCCGCCTGCAAGCCCTCGCCAAGAGAACGGGCGTGACGATGGAAAAAATGACCATCACGGCTCCCCTCGCAGAGAAGGAGAAGGATGGGAAACTGCCATGTGAGGAGGTGGAGCTGAGGGACTATAAACTGAACGTGCAGCTTCGCGAAGTTTTTGCCAACCGCTTCACGCAGATGTTCGCAGACTACGAGGCTTTCGTCATTCAGGCTGCCCCCGATATGGAGTCGTGGCTGACAAACAGGGAACAAATGCAAAACTTTGACAAAGTAAAGATAGCCATGTATTCATTTTTCCATCTGAAGGTGCTTTTGGGAGGGAGGGAGAATAGGTATATATGTATATGTAGCCTAGGTGCCCTTTAATCCACCGTTCTTCATCTGCCTCACTCAGAGATTTGTCCGTTTTGATTACACAGGGCCAGATCGCCTGCCAAAGTAAATCAGTGCAGATCCACTGAGCCGGTCAGAGCTGTCCTGGCTTGTACGAACCAAGCTGGCAGGGTTCTGCCCAGCTGATGGGGCTTCTCCTGTGGGTTTGGTGGAAGGGTAGCAATGGAAAGTGACTTTTTTTCTTTCTTTCTTTTTTGTTTGCTGAGAGGAGAGGTGCACACACGAGACAAAAACCAAATCCAGTCTTTCTTGTTTCCTAATCTCACAGTAGAGCTTTTTGTTAATGGGTAGTGTTGTTCTGTAGAAGGTTATCGCATTGTTATGGCAGAAGAGTACTATTATGACTCCATTGTAGTGTGTACACAAGAGTGAAAAGGAAGCCGAGATTAGAAATGGGGAAATAAAGAGTCTGTAGGCTAGCAAAAGGAATGAGAAATGTTGGGAAGCTTGCACAGTTATTATTTCCGAGTGACTCTGCAAAGTAGATAGCGCTCTTAGCCATCAGCTTTTTCAGATACAAGTCCTTCTCTAAGGAGAATGGTAGAAGGATAAACAGTCAGGAACAGACTAAATATTGATCTGAGTCAGTTTTTGATCAAAAAAATGCTGCCACACCTTTTATTGGACTGGTTTGTATTCAGGCGTTGAACAGTGCAGCATTCAAAAGGAAGGGGTTGTTCAGGCAATCTCTGCTAGCACTTCTACAATAAAATGGGCTGTTAAGGTTAGGGTTTTCAAAGCTCAGCTAGAGGCACACGCTCAGTTTTAATTGGAAATTCATGATTAATTTCCCTGCGTAACTTCACAAAAGAGCATTAGCTGAAGAGCACTGTACACCCCTTGATATGTATGACACCTTAATAAGTGATCTGGTCCCAAGCAGGGATGCGCAGACCAGAGGTCCCAAGTGGGCACATGTGGTGGTGGTCTGCCATGGGTTGCACAGGGCTCGTTCCTGCAGGTGGTAGCTGCTAGGCTGCTTTGAAAAAGCTGGCAGCACAGGCACTACTTCATAGTAACTCCATATTCCCTTTACTCTAACTGTCACGAAGCCTCCCCAGCTGCTTATTTCTCACAGTTGTGACCAAAGAGGTGACCTGCAAACCAAAACCCTTTGTAGATGGATTCGCACCTCTCTGAGAGGTGTTTTTGTGGTGGGGAAGCCTTGTCCAAGCCTTCCCGTTGGCTACTGGATCGGTTCTCTGCCGCAGGACGGCTCGTCATGTCAATGCCAGGTGGGAACGTGGCACTAACAAGCTGTTCTGTATTTCAGGCTTCCTTCCTTTCGGACCAACCTGAGCCTTACCTCCCATTCCTTTCACACTTCATCGAAACACAGATGTTTGCAACCTTCATAGACAATAAGATAATCTCCCAGTGGGAAGAGAAGGACCCTTTTCTGCGAGTTTTTGACTTCCGGATTGAGAAAATAAGGCTATATAATGTAAGGGCCCCTGCACTGCGGACATCCAACTATCAGAAATGCAACACTTTGAAAGAAGCAGGTACGTTCAGACGGGCTAGTAAAATATTCAAAAGTACAATGTCAGCCACAAAGAAATATAGGTCCTCAGTCATCTGAGCGTTGTAGCCAATGAGGAAGCCCTAGAGCTACCTGAGGAGGACTCAGCGGTGTCCTTATTTTCCCTAGGCAAAAATTTCAGCATGCTTTTAAACACCAAAAATAGCGGGAGCCTTTACCTTCCATTCAAGCTCTCCTAGGCTGATGCCTTTAATGAACACAAACCAAACCACAGAGCGGGGCTCGCCGTTTCTCATTTCAGGCAGCTCCTGTTCTATTGCCAGGAGAGCTTTCCTTCACCGTGGTGGTGGGACCAGCGCCAGCCACACCGAAGAGCCAAGCCCCCGTGTCTGCTCCACTGGCCTCATCTCCCCCTTCCTGTAAAAAGACATTTTTTTGCCTTACGCCATTTGGTTAGAGCAGTGGGAGATGCTGGGGACATAATCCTGTGTGGCATATTTAGTAGCTCCAGCAATAGATGCTCAGTGTTAATGAACAATATGTTGTGTACTGAAGACTTGGATTTTTTTCCATTACAGTCACAGGATGCATTTTCAAATTATACTTGAGTTTCTTACTGTGCAAGTACTTATTTCATTTCCAAGTAATACAGGGAAATTGTACCCGTAAATTTATTGGGACACATATTAATGAACTGGGGCAAACACATTTCTCATGGGTTTTTTTTGTTTAATTCCTTCAGAGTATTTTATTTGTTACAAATGTGGCAGAAATAGAAATCCTGTGTCTTCTTAACTTTTTCTATCTAAAACCAATTCTAATTTGCAGGTCAACTGTCTATTCAGCGTCTAGTTTTGGTAGATATTGTGGCACCGGAACCTCATTTTCTGTCTTGCGAAAAGCAGCAAACTGATAGTAATACCAACTTTCCTTCATATTTACCATTCACAATGTATGTGTCCCTAGCACCGATCCAGCACCTGTTTGTTTAACCTACTATTTTCGGAACCCTTCAAACCCTCTGACCCCACACTACCCAGTCCTTTTCTCCAAAATAAAACCATACAAAGTGATTTGTTTTTTCAGAGGGGGAAAAAAAAGCTGCTGAGTTTCTAATGATAATGTATGTAAATTTTATGACAGTTTCTTTCCCATCACAGTTTTATAAAATAGGAAATGAGTTCTGTGTTGTTCTTGACAAATGGAAAATGGATTTAGCTTCCACATTTTGCATATTTATTCACTAGTCGTGATATGCTGAAAAGAACAGGCCTGCCTGTTAATGGATGGGCTATAGAGAGTTGAATATTAAAGTTGCTAATTAAATGCTGATTTCCCCCATACACCTCCTTTCGCCTCTCCTTCACAGTGCATCTGACTCAATGTTGAGAGGGTGACAGGTTTTATTTTCATCCTGCGCGAGATCTGAGATGAAATCCTCACGTCCTTGAAGCAAACGACTGAACCGCATTAGTCTCAGCGGAGCCGAGATTCCCGGGGAGCCCTCTCTGGTCTTGCTGTAGCCTCCCCTGTTTCTAAGCATCTGTTCATCTTTTTGATGCTGCTCAGGCCTTGCTACAGCTGGCTATGCTTTATGAAGGCCTGTCATCCAGTACTGGCATATCTAACTTCAGGAGGAGGATCTTTATAGGTGCCAGATATTTGCAAAACTCGGGTATCACTCCCCGTGCGTCTGCCCAAGGAGACGTGGCTGGGGCAAAGCGAGGTGCCTGACCCCGCAGGGATTGCAGCCGGCCTCAGAGGTCTCCGTTCTACCCAAGGAGCGTTAAAGCCAAACACCGAATTGCAGGGAAAGATTGCACTGCTCTTGCCGATTCATAACCCATCACGTAGGCTCCTGTAAAGACCCGCTTGCTTAACGGCTAACTTGCTTGTGCCAGTGCTAGTTGTGTTGGGTGAAGAAACTAAAAACAAAATAACAAAATAACAGTGCAGATGTTTCATCACTTCTGTAAGCAACAGATTTCTGGGTCTAAAGTCACTATTTAACTTCTTAGAGCATTTTCAGGGATCGGAGCATGACCACTTCTGTTGTCGTAGCACGTGTCTTCGGGTGGTTCACTAACATGGTTGTTCACTTGTGACTGTAACTTGCAGCCCAGTCCATTGAGCAGCGGCTGATGAAGATTGATCACACAGCCATCCACCCGCACTTACTTGATATGAAGATCGGCCAAGGGAAATACGAACAAGGATTTTTCCCGAAGTTGCAGTCGGATGTCTTGGCAACGGGACCTACCAATAACAAGTAAGCACAGGTTTTATTTTCTGGATTTGAAAGCAGGTTTCTCATATAAAAGATTCACATCATTGGACAGTAGTCCTAATTTTGGATGGCTTCCAGCCAGTCTAATGAACCCTAGCAACTCTTTCCATTTCTGGTTTGTTCAGGCTGTGATTTTGAAGTTACAGCCACAATTTGAGTTATGTTAGAAAGTGTTAGCTCTGGTTTTGGAAAGATTCCTTAGTACTGTTTTCTGTGTCTTCTCATACATATTTTTAGTTTTATCATTGCCGTAATAAATTTAAAATTCGTTTCCTTGCTGTTTTGCACTGAGTAGGATAATTTGGAAACCCAAGCCAAAATTAAGATTCTGAAAGAAATTTTGGTATTGAAGCCTCCACATCATCATGCAGAATGAAATTAATGCCCACTCTGTTCTTCTCTTTTCTTTAATTGTTATTACATGCCCCAAAGATTTTTATAGCTCTCTTTCAGTTTCCACATTGGAATAACCTGGAAGAATAACTTGGTGAGGGTAGAAACTATGTGGTTCTGTACCTGGATTACTCTTATCAGTCTGATAGGATTCTGAGTGCACTTTCATATGAAGGTAGGGGTACCTATAGCTGTGGAATCGAGCATGTAATTACATAGTTAATTTGCCTAATGTAAAATGAGAACCTGGAGCAACTAATACACTTTACATTTATACAGCTATAATATAAAGTAAGTGTTGTAAGTTACTTTTTTTTTCCTTCCCTCAAAACCCAGGAAAGAAGGGGTTTTTCTCCCCCTTCAGAAATGGAAAATTAGTGCATCAATGGTTATTGCTTCATTAAATTATTAGCTCAGGCCCTTGCTTCCAGTTTCTGTGGTAGGTCAAAATGGGTGCAGAGATAAATGTGAGAGCTCCAAAAGCTACGATTGTCTAAATGTTAAAGCTAGCTCTTGTTTTAGACAAGTGCATGCACACACACTGCTCTGAGCTCCTGTATGAGGCACCCACTCAATTCTATTTATACACCTTTTGTGCACCCCCGTGCTAGCTAATCCCTTTTTAATAACCTACTAGGTATAAGACTTGCAAATGATAAAATAAGATATCCTTAAGCATTAAACGTTTAAAGAATTGAAATTCTTTAAAAGAAGTAAAAAAATAAAAGGAGGCCATGTGTATTTCAAAGTTCCTTTGTTTGCAGTCTTCTTGCAAACTGAGACAAAAGTTTACAGGTAGTGCTCCCTTGAGGAATGGAGGATTTCTTCATCTTGTGGGATGCTGTGTTTAGCAGTCTGCCTCTTATCCTTATGGTGGGTTTCAGTTTTACAGTGTCAGCAACAGTGTGAGCATGCCCAGCCTGCTCCAAGTTGCTTTTATCTTCTGGCTCTATTGCAGAATGTTAGTGAATCCATGAATAAGCATCAAATTAAAAATAGTTTTCCTTATGCCTTTTGAGATGCTTCTGTTAGATTGGTACCTATTCTAAAATGTGACTTTAACTCCTTGAGTGATAATTTTGCTTTAGATAGCTAGTTTTGATCTTCAAATTGCAGCGTGTTTCAGAATTTCTAAGTACCAAAATCCCATTACTTACCACAAAGCAGTGTCAAAGTGACAAATGCTTGGAATTCCTCCAGCTGTATATTGCCAAAAAGGTTTGTAATTGGAAAATCTCAAGACCATCTGTTTATATCTTTCTGCTTCCTGGCTTTTTTTGTGAGCAGCTGAGAGCTCGCTCTCTCTCAAGACATGTAATTCTGCTGAATTTACACCCACGTATGAAAAAGATAGCCTTTTCATGCTCTCTACAAATACATCATAATTCTTTTGACCACAAAATCAATTGAAGTATAGCCTTCCATCAATGTGAATTTCCCAGTGTATGCTTCTTGGGGGTGTGTTATACTTGCATATGGGGCTTGGCCTTTGCATGTGGGGATGGGGGAAAAGGACATTTCAGCTATGTTCCCAGGCACTTCTCATGTAGCTATTGTGTGTGTTCATGAAGTTAATGCAAAGGATATTGCTATGTAGATCAGAATTATTTTTGCAGACTTCAGTTCTACATAGCAAATTTTGTCCTGAATGTGTAAGGAAGTGTATTTGCAAGGGGAAAAAAAAAATCATTCTCATGTTACAGTCAATTGTTGTTGGACAGTAGCAAATAAACCAATTCAAAGCTGTTTTAATAAAAACCTGTCCTCACTGGTCAGCAATCAGATTTTTATTGCTTCCCTTTCTGGACGATGAACTAACAAATATATAACTAGAGCTCATAATGTTATCTAGCTATTCCCTTCGAGCACTACCTGGCTGTTACGGGGCTGTTATATGTATAATGTATCTAAATCAGAAATATAATGCAAAGACCAAGCACTTTCAGTTTGTTTAGTCCTTGATCCTGTATGTGATCCCAGAAAACCATGTTGCCTAGACAGGCAGAAATTGTGTTTGGAAGAGAGGGTGTCTGGCTCTTGTTTGCTGGGCATGGAGAGCAGGCCTTGGGGACAGAGGAAGGGCTGACAGTCATATTGGATCACTTCCACCTAAACGCAGCTGGAAACAAGTGTTGATCACATTACCATGTGTAAGCGTTAAAACACCGAAGTCTGTCACAGAAGCAAAGTCTAATAATATTTCATCTGTCAGCCCGCGGCCATGCTCGGCAGCATGCTTTGCCCCACTTCTGTCACTCTGCTGCCTCCTCCCGCTTCCCCTCAAGATGTCCGCTAAAGGACTGGACAAGGGGGTGAACCTGCACTCCTCTGGCCCCAGCCAGCGTCACACAGCTTGCTGCTTTCTCTCATCTGCTTGGTCATTTGTGGGTTAGGAGAGCCGCCTTGCTCCTATTCTGGCCAGACTGCAGGTGCGTGCCTGGTGTCGTTAGGGCTTGTCTTTACCTCTTCCCTCGTGGTGGTAAGGAAACATTGACTTTGTCAGCTAAGCAAGAACTTCACTGAAAATAACTCCAAACGGCACTTTACTGAAAAGAAATGAAAAGTTTAAAAACAAAAAGTGAAAAAACTCAAACAACAAAAAGCCCAAACAAACAAAGAAACCCTACCCCAAACCCCTACCTCCATAAAACTGGAGAATAGGCTCCCAGGTATACAGTTTCTCTAATCATCTTTGCGACCAAAACTACCAGAACGTGGAAAGACATTAACTGCAGAATATGCAGATCTGAACTTAAGCAAGAGATTACAATTATTGTATCCAAATATTTCTAGAAATTAAAAGAAACATTATTTTTCTGTAAAGAAAAGAGCAATTCATCCTAGCTAAGAGCAATTTAAAAAAAAAAAAAACAAAAAACCAAAAAACCAAAAACCCACCCAGTTCTGTCCTCTTTCCCATCAGGCAGCAAAGTCCCACTTGAGGGACTCCCTCTGCACTCATTGCCTTCGATACATCCCCCATGTCGTGGGAAAACCTTCTGGATGTACAGACAGCAGCTGCAGCTTCCTCTGGGTACAGAAGTGGCCCGTCCACGCTGCTCTAACCTTGTAAAGCAGTGGCTTCTGCAGAAATCATCCTAGAAAGCGTCCCAGGAGAAAACAGGCTGCAGTCCCTTAGACAGTTTGTCTGTTTATCTGGAAATGAGCAGCAGTTTCCGGAGTCTTCCTTCCCTTTTTCAAACCCCAGCACTACATTGTGGTTTCTACATGTTCCCCTCTTCCTTCCCCGCGTGCAGTTTTCTGCCAGGCTTTTAAAATTGTTGCTGGGACTCCACTGGCTGATGCATTCGCAATGATCCAGGAAAGGAATTTGAATGACAAAAAGCCAAGCTACATAAACACTTCATGGTTTTTGATTAGCTAATTGTTAAATTAGGGTGAATATGCTTACAGTGCAAAATTAAAACAATGAAACAAGCTGTGTTTTCAATCTAATTGATTACCTTGTAACTTAATTTGTACTAAGAAGCTTGATAAATGAGATATTGCAGAGGAAGACACTGATTGCACACCAAACATGGGAATCTATTTGCATTCTGGCAATTTGTAGTGAATGCCTGGAAAGAACAACTGAGCTGATTTTTTTTTTTCTTAATTTCTTTTGGTTTTCAAAGGAAGGTTTTGCTTTGTTACACACTTACAAAATGGCTTAAATTATCCTTTTTTGCCTTTCTCTTTGTTTAGCCCTGTTTTTCCCACCTCCTTTATCTGCGCCCTGCTTTCCTCCTTGCTTCCTCCCCTGACCAGTTTCCCCTTTTCTGCCCTGGCCACTTCTCTCTCCTGAGCCCTCTCACTTATATCCCAACCTCCCATGAGCTTCGTGCCTTTCTCTGTCCCCTGTGTCCTACCTGACCTGCAGCAATCCTCAAAGGAGGGCGCAGTCCAAGTCTTCATGCTATACTTGGTCTCCTAACCTCAGGCTTTAGCTAAGTGATGTGTGGTTCCTACCCATAAAGCAGATTTCAATTTGCTTTCTCCAGGCATTTGTTCCTGTGCTGTGTTTTGCTGACATCACCACTGTGTCAGGATTTATTTGTAAAATTTGTGCATTAGGAGTGTACGAAATTGGTTCATTTTTGTGCTCCGGTTTATGGCATGACTTGTGTGAGCACTGTCCTGTGGCCTCCATCACCGGCCCCCCCTTCAGGTTGTGAACTGCCCAAGGTTTATCTGCCTGGTGCTCTGGTTCTCCTAATTTTTAAATAGGACTACTGTTTGCTTATTCACTAACATTGACATTGGTTAATGTTTTTAAAGAAAATATTATATATATATAAAATACAAAGTGGTATCCTTTTGCTGAATCTCTATGTGATGATAGCAGTCATTCTGGTTTTAACTGAATTAGTTTTTGCTATGGGGACTTGGAACCTGATGGGTGAGTCTCGTGTGTACTGAGCCTCTGCTCAACTGGTGCAAGGCAGTAAAAGAGCAATTAACTTATTTCAGCTAATACAGAATTTTAAAATAGCTATGCAGGATTAAAGTTCACAGGGAAAAATGTGGGTGAGTCCTTGCATCCTCTATTCTGTTTACTATCCCCTGAACAGTGTTACTGTCTCAAGCGA